GAGGGAGGTGTCTGGGTCATGGAGGCGGATCCTTCATGAATGGCTTGGCGCTGATCTTTTTTCTTTTTCCCTCCTTGACATATAATTATTTTAATTTTCTGAGCTCCTTTATTGGTTACATTTGTAATTTCCACCACTATTTTTGTTTCTTTAACTATAGACAATTATTCTTGACTCCCTGCTTCATGAGGTTGGTATGTTTTACCCTTTGCCTTTCTACCATCCCTTCTTATATAATTATACCACCCAAATCTGACAGCAGCACAGTGAGAATATTGGTGACATTTTATGTTTAGTATTTGTAATTCAGTTTTTAATTTTGTTCATTGGTTGAACCTTAAAGTTGAAAAAGTAATAAATATCATTAGTATTATTTTGACTCTGTACATATTGTTTACTGCAGAATCAAGAAGTGTTCTAGGATTGCATTTCATTCAAGATGATTCCTTAAGCACCAAAAAGAGAGTGTTCCTAGAATCGAGGTCAAGGGGATAATTACTTCTTTCAAATGAATTATTTAATTTCAGCATTTGCTTAAAATTTTGCCATATTTTATTTTGGTTCATATTTACATCATGACTTTCTGTAAAGCTTTTTTCAATTGGTTTTATTTCTTTCTTATTGGAAAAGGATATGTGAACCTTCTTTATTTCATTCTTAATCATTTTCCTTTTTTGCTCATTCTCTTTTTTTTGGTGGAATCCATTTCATTCCTTATTTTGAATCCCACTGACTCATATTCTAATTTGGACTAGTGGCTACAATTTTGAACTATGACTTCCATTTTCCCTTGCGTTATTCTGTATTTTTGCTTTACTTTTAAGTTTTTTCCACCTTCAGAATCCTTTTATATATGAAGGTACCTTTCATTCTCAGCTTCCTATTCGTCATCTCCTTTTGGAGGCCGTCTGTAGTACAGTTGCTTTTTAGACTGGTCATTCTCAAGTCTACAGAGCCATCAGACTTCTTTACAGTCACATTTTCCTGAAACTACGTTTTGCTCTTTCTTGGTTTACTCCTCATTTTGCTGGAATATCTTGTAAAATTACTTTTGAGGAAGAGGTTCATGCTGTATACATTTTCTGAGTCATCACATTATTGAAGATGTATTTGTTTCTGTCTGATATTTCCTTGATTGTTTGAGTGAGAGAAAGATGCTTCTCTAACAGAAAGAAAAAGCAAAAATTAGTGGCATTTGGAGCTCATTGAGTTTATTTATTAAAGCAACAGAATTATCAAAATTGCTTTTCTTACCCATAAACTTTTCTCCAAGTTCAGAGACTTTTTGAGCTCGCTTGACAAGTTGTGAATAATTTTATTTATAGAATGAGTACTGTTAGGTCTGAATGTGTGTGCCACCCCAGAATTCATATGTTAAAATCGAATCACCAATGCAATGGTAGCAAGAGTTGGGGCCTTTGGGAGGTGATTAGGACATGAGGGTGGAGCCCTCATGAATGTGAAGTTGTGACCTTATCCAAAAGGCCCAAGGGAGCTTGTTTGCCTTTCTGCCACGTGAGAAACAGCAAGAAGGCCCAATCTATTGAGAAATGGCCCCTCACCACATACTGAATCTACTGGTATCTTGCTCTTGGAATTTCTAGCCTCCAGATCCATGAGCAAGATAGCTGTGTTGTTGATAAGCCATCCAATTTATGGTATTTTGTATAGCCTCCCAAATTTACTAAGGCCGCTACATTTCAGGGGAATGTTAGGCAGTATTATTTCAAACTCCTCATAGCTTGGTGTCTGTTAATGGTTTAGTTTGTGGAGCTATGCTTATGGATTGTGCACTCCATTTATGTATCTATATCAGGAATTTTTAATCTGGGAGCCTAGGATAAGTTTAAAGGGATTGTTTACCCCTTGGAATGATAATCCTAATTTTGACTGTATGTGCCATTCTGGCAGTTGGGACACTACTTTCACCAAATTCTCAATGAGGTCCATGTACCAAAAATGATTGAGAATCACCATTCTGAAGTTCTTGGTATGAGACTAGATTCTTAGAAAGCTGCAAATGGGTGGTACTAACATGCCTCTTTTAAAGATTGTTTTTGTTTAATTTTGGAGTGATACCACAATTCTATTTTGAAGAGTATTTCAAGAAGGAGTCATATCTTACCATCTATACATTTGTTCCTTCACTCAACTAATATATATGGAGCACCTGCTATGTGAGAGACAGGCTTATATGTGTGAAGGCTGTAATGACGAAAAGAAAACAATTTTTAAAAATCCCTTGATCTAGTGGAGTTTACATTGCAGTGGGGGGAGATAGATAATAAACAAGAAAAGTAACAAAGCATATTCACATTAGTGTTAAGTGATAAGGAGAAAAAATATTTTTTATATATATTTTTTATTCTAAAGTTGTGGGATACAGTTAAGGGTTAGGTATACAAATATTCATTGTGCAGGTACCCTTGTTGATAAGGTGTGCCCCTCTTTCCTCAGACAGATATCGACTACCGTTAATCTCACCTCCCTTCCTGTCCCTGGCCTCCCCCGCCACAGTTTCCCACCACTGTCAGAAAGGAGAAAAATTTAAGCAGAATAGCAGATACGACATGTTGAGGTGGGGAAGGTGTTGGCATTTTAGGTAGGATGCCAGGGAGGGCTCCTCTGAAGAGGTGACTTGAACAAAGAGGAGAGCAGTGGTTGATGAAATCAGAGAGTTGATTGGGTTCTGGGATTCAGTAGTCTTGCCCAGGACTTGGACTTTTACTCTGAGTGTTGAGGAGGGTTAATGCATTTTGGGAAAGACCTATGGCTTAACAACACATTTTAACTGCTGTGTTCAGAATGAACTGAATCTGGGAACAAGGGAAGAAGTGGAGAGACCAGTTGGGAGGCTCTTCTGATAGTCCAGGGAAGACATAATGGTGGCTTAGAACAGGGTATTGGCAACAAAAGGTGTGACACATTACTGAATTTTGAAATTCCCTTGAAACACTGGTACTATTAGGGTGTTTATAAGGATGTTACCTGTTAACATATGAAGTTAATCAGGAACAATTTCTTACTGTCCTTAGTATTAAGATTATTTGTTTGTTTCTGTTAATTTCATCTTAAGTACTCTGAAATTATAATCCATGGATTTGACTATGAGAAAACTTAGAATAAGTTCATGGCTTATCCTTGAGAAGTGTATGCACATGAGTAGTGTTTGGTGTATTAGACTTATTTTGGTCACCTTACCATTCATTTTCCTATTGCTTGATTCTTTCTCATAGTTTTAAAATTTTGATAATTTTTTTCTATTGTTTATGCTTTTTCAAAACTATATTCTTTTTGATACAATAAAAAATTCCTTTTGAATCTTTGTGAATACCACCTTTCACAATCTTTTCAAGGTTGCATCTAAGGCCTTTTTACACTTGTGATTGTTTCTCTGTTATTTAAGAATGAAACCTGACTGCGAGAATCCAAACCATCAGAATAGTTTGTGTTTTACATGGAACATTAAATAAAGAAATGGTAGTCTTATGTAAGGAAAACAGATGATCTATTTGATCACTTAACTCAGTTGATCAGGTGAGTTAAAAGTGAGTCAAATCAATTGTTGGACTGAATTTCTAGTTACTAGTCAGTTTAATCAAAGCACTTAGTCCAGTGACATGTTGTACCTAGGACACATCTATGAAACTTGCCCTCAGGCTTATTTTATGAGACTATTTTATATCAGAAACAGTTAGTGTAAAAAACAATTTGCACCCATTTAGTATGATTATATAATGAGACTTTCAAATATTGAACTGATTTCTAGAAATCCTGGAGAAACCTTGTGATATCAGTGTATAAAGAACCAAAATTCTGATGAAAAATTGATAGTCTGAAAAACAAATTTACTAAATTTAAATTATTTATACTCATCCATTTCTTCCTAGCAGTATATAAGTTGTAAAATGTAAAATAAACAAACATGTTTTTCAACTTATCACGTGGTGCCAATTCTCAGATATGAGCTATGAGACTGTTTCTCACTTAATATTTTATAATATTCTTTGTGATTTATCTTTTAAATTACATCTCCCAGAATCATAGACAGCACTGAAAGGGACTGTAGAGATCTTCCAACCATATTGTAGACAAGGAATTTGAGGTCTAGGGTGTTGAAAACCCCCACAGCTAATTAGTAGAAGAGTCTAGACTGATACCCAACACTCCTAACACCTAATTCAGGGTTTTTAACCTCAAATTGCTTTCATGTAGTGAACTGAACTCCTAATTTGAGATCATTAAAAAAGACTGAAAAATCAAAATTATGTAAGGTTTCATCATAAGTCCAAGATCAATATATTAGAATGACTAACATTTTCATTCATGACATAGTAGAACAAATAATCTTATTTGTGATGTATTTCAAACTGAGTAGAATTCATGGGAGGGCTTGTCTCTACAGTCATTCTCTTCAATTGGGTGCATTAAGCTATCAAACTGTCCTTGAATTACTCTGATAACTCTTCACTGTGAATATTAACTCATTTGTAGATGAACAATAGGTTTCCAAAAGCATACTGGAAAGTTTTCTACTCTTTGCTGGAAACAGACATGCAGTTGTTAACCTATTCAATAACCTTTTGGCTTTGTAGTGTCATAGGAGAGATAAAGTCTTTAGAAAATTAGAGAAACTTAAGAACTGAGCATAGAAAAAAATGAAGATGGGGATATTTATGATGTTCGATCAGTTGTTACATATTTAATCAATATTGTGAGCACTTTGTAAAATTTCAGTCTTATCCTGTGATAACCGCCCTGGTTTGTTATGGCATAAACAAACTGATTTTTTAAAAATTTTGGTAAAATATGCACAGGATACATCTATAACATAATTTAATGTGAGATCTTTCTCTGATATTGATCCAGAGTATGCTAGGGGATTAAAATTTAAAGATGTATTTATAATCCTTTTCTTTTTATAAGTTTCCCATAGACAGCTTATATATGTGTGCTGTTCTGTGTACATGTGTTTTAATTTTAGGTTTGCTGTTTTTCAGGTGTACTTCTCTGAAGTAAGATGATTTGTCAAAAATTCTGTGCGGTTTTGTTACATTGGGGTAAGTTGTTTGCTATTTTAAAGCCCTCCTATAAGGTAGAGATTTTGCTGTTAGAGCTGCTGTTTCATTTCTTGATACCAGAATTTCCTTTTTCTAGTTAGGAATTCTCTTGCATGCTCATAGTTAAAAATGCAAACCGAAGTAAAAGTATGAAAATGAAAATCCTTCCCAGCTTCCTAAAAGCCACCTGCTAGTGTATCCTTTTAGAATTCTAACACACACACACACACACACACACACGCACGCACACGCGCACGCACACACACAACAAAGCTTTATACATGTGTACTTTATACATCCTCTACAAAGTTTTATACCATTTGCTGTCCCAACACAAGTATATGAGAGTGCCGTTCTATTGCATTTCTGCCAAAGATGCATATTATATTTCTTTTACCTTTTTACCCTGTCTGATAAGCAAAATATGGCATCTCATTTCAGTTTCATCTATTTGAGTATTTCTGAGGTTGAGCACTGTTTTTTGATCATTTATATTTCTGATGTGATTTTCTAATTTATATACTTAGACCATTTTGTGGTTGGGTTTTATTGGTCTTAGCTGAATTTTAGAAATTTCTAAAATATGAGATATTTAGCACTGTATTAGGGCTCTTCAGAGAAATGGAACCAATAAGATGTGTGTGTGTATGCATATATGTGTGTATGTATGTCTACACACACACACACACACACACACACACACACACACACACACACATTTATTATAAAGAATTGACATATACAATTATGAAGGCTAAGAAGTCCCAAGATCTGCAGTTGACAACCTGGAGATCCATGAGAGCCAGTAATGTAGTTCCAGTTCAAGTTCAAGACTGGAAAACCAGGAGAGCTGATGGTGTAAGTTCTATTCTGAATTCTCCAAGCTTGGGTCCCAAGAAGAGCCACTGTTTCAGTTCCAGACTGAAGGTAGGAAAAGACCCATGTCCCAGCTCAAGACAGTCAGGTAGCAGAAGTTCCCTCTTAATCAACTTTTTTGTGCTATTCGGGTTTTCGATTGATTGAATGAGGCCCACCTACATCAGGGAGGGCGATCTGCTTTACTCAGTTTACCCATGCAATTGTTAATCTCATCTGGAAACGGCCTCACAGAAACACCCAGAATAACGTTTGACCAAATGTCTGGGCACCTCATGGACCCAGTCATGTTGACACATAAAATGAACCATCACAGGCTTTATCAATCACTGCATTTGCAAATATTTCCTAAGTGCTTATTGTCTGCTTTTTGATTTTTTTCTAGCTGTATAGGAAATTTTTATATACACACACAACTGTATGCACACTGAGAAACAAGACATAATGACATTTAACTATTTTATGAGCTAAAGTAGCATGATTAAGTTGCAAATAGATATTAGATAATAGTCAAAACTTTCATTCTTTATATCCAGGGTCCCCAGTCTGTTAGGAACTGGATCACATAGCAGGAGGTGAGTGGTGGATAAGTGAGTGCAACTTCATCTGTGAAGCTCCCCATCACTTGCATTACCACCTGAGCTCTGCCTCCTGTCAGATCAACAGTGGCATTAGATTCTCATAGGAACACAGATACTCTTGTGAACTGCCCGTGAGGGATCTAGGTTGCACACTCCTTATGAGAATCGAATGCCTGATGATCTGAGGTGGAACTGAGGCGGTGATGCTAGTGCTGGGAGCAGCTACAAATACAAATTAGCATTAGCAGTGAGGTTTGACTGTGCATCCACCCCCTGCCCCCAGTCCATGGAAAAATTGTCTTCCACGAAACCAGTCCCTGACATACCAAAAAGTTTGGGGACCACTGCTATGTATCAAGGAGTGGTTTCCTTAGTGATAATATTTAAAATAAATTACTGTAACACAAAATGATAGGTTTGTTCTTTAATGAAAGGGAGATGGCATTTTAAATTCTTATTCCTGTTAGAACGCTAATGAAGGTTGACAAATATAATGTTGTAAGGAGACTTATCAAGGGATAGTGTATATGTTGGAAATTGCCACCTTGAATACCACCAGAAGAATGCTGTCATAATTGAGCACTAGTATAATTAAATATATACTAGTCCTATCTTCTACCCATTGCAGGAATAATTGCAAGAGAAAGCTTCAGATGTTCTTTTAGAGTCTTGTGATTTTAATGCCGTGGACCATAACAGTCTTTTGTTTGAGATTAGTCACACATAGCCAGGAACTCATTTTATTTTATTTTATTTTATTTTTTTGGAGTCAAAGTCTCACTCTTTTGTCCAAGCTGGAGTGCAATGGCACGATCACAGCTCACTGCAGCCTCAACTTGCTGGGCCCAGACGATCCTTCCACCTCAGTTTCCCAGGTAGCTGGGACTACAGCTACATACCACCATGCCCAGCAAATTTTTAAAATTTTAAAATTTTTTTGAGAGATGAGATCTCGCTGTGTTGCTCAGGCAGGTCTTGAATTCCTGGCCTCAAGCAATTCTTCCTGCTTGACCTCCCAAAGTGCTGGGATTACAGTCGCTGAGTCACTGCACTGGGCTACATTGCCAGTAACTTCTGAGCATACTCTTCTCACTTGTTTCTCACCACATCCTGGTAATATTATGATTTTCTTAAACCAAATCGTCCAATTTAGGTCGCACACCAAATTTTTAAATTGAAGTCAGGCTATCTTTGAAAAAACTTATGTTATCTGGCAACTGTTACTTGTGTGCCAACTGGTTCTGAGCAATCCTTGATTATTCCAATCTCAGGTGCTCTTAAAAAATTTTTCTGTAAGACTCCCTTGTTGTGCTTACTGTTCTTTCTCATTACAACCATCTGTATACTTAAAGAAAATAACCAGAATAACTGCACTGTTACAGATTTCCAAAAAACTATGCTACAAAAGACTATCAAAGAGAAATAGCTCATTCTCTTTTATATTCTCTAATTTTGTTAGATATGTTAAACTCTTCATTCTCTTTTATATTTTAAAATTTTTATTAGACTCTAAAGTTACAGAATTTCAAAAGATTTGCAGTTTCAAGTTTTGTGAATCAGAAGAGATCCTGGGATATTGTTACCTGATAACATATGCCTTCAGATGAAAATTCTAGATCTCTTTCTGTTTAGAATTCATTCACAGGGAAAGAAATATCCTTTTGCAAGGGAAGCAGACAAACAAAATAGACCCATCTTTTAATTAAACTGATTCAATAGTTGCTATGCTTTTGAATTTCATTATTATATTATAAATTTCAATGTTTCGTTGAGCATTTTAGGCTAATTCAGTTCAAGCAACTGAATCCTTCATATGCAGCTAGAAACTATAATGCTTTTAATTAGTACTATTACATATTCATAGTTTTGTAAAAGAAACAAAAAAGGATTCTGTTTTCATTTAAATGTTCTGATTTTAGAAATATATGTTAGAAGGATCGAAGTCAAAGAAACACAATTGCAGTGCAGATTTACTTTGGGTGATATTGTGACACGTAATTGTTATCAGCATGGAAACAATATGAGTCATGTTAATAATTTTGACCTTTATTTTGGCATCTGTATATTTATATTAATTTATATTTATAGAAATTAAAGTATTAACAGTTATTACTTATGTATTGTTTAAATATTTTACGTGCATTGCTTTTGTCATTAAAAAATGCATTTGTGAATTGATTTTTAAGATTTTCTGTTTTTTTTTCTTTCTTTTTATTTTAGAGTTGTGGTGGTACAAGTGGGGATTTACTACATAAGTGGGTTGCATGCAGGTGAAGTGTGAGCTTCCAGCTCACCCTCTCTCCCCTAATAGTGGACCAGGTACCCAGTGTGTTGTCCTGTGCTCCCTCTCCCTCCTCCCTTTCTCTCCCTCCACCCCCAGCAGTGTCCAGTGTCTGCCCATCCCACCCTTGTGCTAGTGTAACCAGGGATCAGGGCCCACTTATGGATGAGGATTTGCAGTATTCAGCTCTTTGTTTCTGTGATAGTTCACTTAGTATGATGGTCTCCAGCTGTATCCAAGTTGCTGCAAAGGCCATGATTTTGGTCTTCTTTATGACTGTGTAATATTCCATTGTGTATACATACCACCTTGTCTTTATTCAGTTCGCTTTTGATGGGCATCCGGGTTGGTTCCATGGTTTTGCTATTGTGAACAGTGCTGCAATAAACATGTATGTGCAGGTGTCTTTTTTGGTTGAGCAATTTATGTTTCTCTGGCTATATTCCCAGGAGAGGAATTGCTGGGTTGTATGGAAGCTCAATTGGTAGTTCTTTGAGCAATTGCCACACTACTTTCCACAGAGGTTGAACCAGCTTACATTCCCACTAACAATGTAGAAAAGTCCCCTTTTCTCCACAGATGCACCAGTACTTTTTTGATTTAATTAATGATAGCCATCCTTCTGGTGTCAGGTGTTATCTCATTGTAGTTTTGATTTGCATTCATCTGATGATTAATGAGGTTGAGCATTTTTCATGTTTGTTGGCTGCTTGTATGCCATCTTTTGAGAAGTGTCTGTTCATGTCTCTTGCCCACTTTTTAATGGGGTTGTTTGTCTTTTTGTTTTTGTTTGAGTTCCTTATAGATCCTGGATGTTAGGCCTTTGCCAGATGCATAGCTTGCAAATATTATTGGTTTCCTTTGCTGTGAAAAAACTTTTCAATTTGAAGAGGTCCTACCTGTCTACCTTAGCTTTTGATGCATTTGCTTTGAGGACTTGACCATGAATTCACTGCCTACTCTGATATTCAGAAGTGTGTCCCCCACGTTTTCTCCTAAGATTCTTTTAGTCTGAGGTTTTACACTTAAGTGCTTGATCCATTTTGAGTTAGTTTTGGTGTATGGTAATAGAGAGGGTTCCAGTTTCATTCTTCTGCATGTACCATTTGTTAAATGTGGTTTCCTTTCCCCAATGTTTGTTATTGATGGCTTTGTTGAAGATGAGGTGATTGAGGGATAGTGTTTTTATTTCCAGATTGTCTTGTCTTATTGGTCTATGTGCCAATATCATGCTGTCTTGGTTACTGTAGCCTTATAATAAA